ACTCGTCGTGTTTGGAGGACAAAGAATGCTGAGTTGCATCCAAAGAACACCATACCTACTGTGAAGTATGGGGGTGGAAACATCATGCTTTGGGGCGGTTTTTCTGCAAAGGGACCAGGACGACTGATCCGTGTAAAGGAAAGAATGAATGGGGCCATGTATCATGAGATTTTGAGTGAAAACCTCCTTCCATCAGCAAGGGCATTGAAGATGAAACGTGGCTGGGTCTTTCAGCATGACAAGGATCCCAAACACACCGCCCGGGCAACGAAGGAGTGGCTTCGTAAGAAGCATTTCAAGGTCCTGGAGTGGCCTAGCCAGTCTCCAGATCTCAACCCCATAGAAAATCTTTGGAGGGAGTTGAAAGTCTGTGTTGCCCAGCGACAGCCCCAAAACATCACTGCTCTAGAGGAGATCTGCATGGAGGAATGGGCCAAAATACCAGCAACAGTGTGTGAAAACCTTGTGAAGACTTACAGAAAACGTTTGACCTGTGTCATTGCCAACAAAGGGTATATAAGAAAGTATTGAGAAACTTTTGTTATTGACCAAATACTTATTTTCCACCATAATTTGCAAATAAATTCATTAAAAATCCTACAATGTGATTTTCTGGATTTTATTTTCTCATTTTGTCTGTCATAGTTGACGTGTACCTATGATGAAAATTACAGGCCTCTCTCATCTTTTTAAGTGGGAGAACTTGCACAATTGGTGGCTGACTAAATACTTTTTTCCCCCACTGTATTATTATATTTTTCTCATTTTTGACAGTATGTGACGGTATTTAATGTTTTTGAATAATACAAGTTCAAAGTATACTTCATGAGTAGTGCATGCATTTCCTTTAGTCATGTGTTATTATTTCCACACTGTACCACATTTGTTTTGTCTTTGTATGCCTCTATTTTGTAAAAAAAAAAGTCAATTTTCCTTTATCAGAATGATTATTCTCCTCTGACAATGTATACTGAACAAAAATATAAACGCAAAATGCAACAATTTCAAAGATTTTACTGAGTTACAGTTCATATAAGGAAATCAGTCAACTGAAATAAATTAGACCTTAATCTATGGATTTCAAATGACTGGGAATACAGATATGCATCTGTTGGTCATAGACCTTATAAAAAAAGGTAGGGGCGTGGATCAGAAAATCAGTCAGTATCTGGTGTGACCACCATTTTCCTCATGCAGCGCGACACATCTCCTTCGCATAGAGTTGATCAGGCTGTTGGTTGTGGCCTGTGGAATGTTGTCCCACTCCTCTTCATTGGCTGTGCGAAGTTGATGGATATTGGCGGGAACTGGAACACTCTGTCGTACATGTTGATCCAGAGCATCCCAAACATGCTCAATGGGTGACATGGCTGGTGATTATGCAGGCCATGGAAGAACTGGGACATTTTCAGCTTCTAGGAATTGTCCAAAGATCCTTGCGACATGGGGCCGGTCATTATCATGCTGAAACATGAGGTGATGGCGGCGGATGAATGGCACGACAATGGGCCTCAGGATCTCGTCACGGTATCTCTGTGCGTTGAAATTGCCATTGATAAAATGTAATTGTGTTTGTTGTCTGTAACTTATGCCAGCCCATACCATAAGGTCTTCTCTCCTTCGTCATATCTTCCCTTATTCCTGCCAGGATGTCATACTCATTTAGGCTTTTCATCTAGTAGAATTCATTGCACACTATTGAGGAAGAGAATCGTCTTTTCACACCCACCTGTGTTCGACAACAGCTGATAATCAGAATAGGGGATGTGCTCTACAAAAATTAACAAATGGCGAGGAACAAGCGCGATTGCGCATTTGATGACGCCTTCTCAGTATGGATGAGAAGTATGTTGATATTTGTTGCTTACTGCATACGTTTGTACTAAACAGTACATTCTAAATAGTATGTAGTATGGTTAGAAAGAGGGGGGAAGGTTGTTACTGAGGCATATGTTATTGCAAGCGAACAGTCTTGACAGTTCATTTTGAAGCCCCCTGACCATATTGAATTACAATGTACTTGGGAGAGATAAAGTCCCATCTGACCATTAATTAAACCCTGAAATATCACTTCTCTTCCAGTTGTGGTTTCAAGCCTGAATTGATGTTTATGTCTGTAATTGGGCTTGTGCTTTCTAGGGATTTTTGGCTGGCTGCCAGTGTAGAACATACATACTAACAGAGGCTATTCATACATCTCTCTGGGGTGTTATCATTTATGAGTTAATTTCTTAATGCCTCAAATTAACCATAATGATACCATAACGGATTGCTATGTTTGTTTGTTTTATAGTTTTGAGTGCTGGATGGATTGATAGTGTGTGCTGTAGCCTGTATGTCATGCAGAGGACATCACTGCTGAGGGACTCACATAAACACTTGTTTAACCAGCCATTTAATCCACAAATGGTCTCCTCTTCAACTCTCACTCTCTGGCTCTCTCTCTCTATCTTTCATCTCTCTTCCTGTCAATTACTTGATTTCTCTCGCTCTCGCTCTCGCTCTCGCTCTCGCTCTCGCTCTCTCGCTCGCTCTCTGGTCATGTCCAAAATCTGTCGTTCTTACCATTTACTAAAACTACATACTGTGTACTAATCATACTATTTAGAACTTACTGTTTAGTAAAAATGTATACAGTAAGCAACAAATATCAATGTACTAGACTCACCCATACTAAGAATGCGTCATCAAATGCAGGGGTTCCCAAACTTTTTCACTCAGCATTTTCCTTCCAGCATTGGGGAACATCCCGCGACCCCCTGCATGCGCGGGCCACGTCTATTTCTATGGGCACAAGCACTGTTCATGACACAAACTGTCCACACCCCTCTTGTTGGAGGAGAGAACATTTAGCAGGTTGCAGTTTTAAAGCTAATTTTCTTGCAATTCTATACATTTTGCCATGTCTAATGTGTATTCATGTGATATTTGAGTGAATCAAACATTACAACAAAATCTATAGGCTAAAAAATCTAGCTTAAAAACATTAGCTGACATGGGCTAGTTGATCTGGGCATTTGTGACAAGTTTTAAATAGATCTCTAAGGTACGCAATGACTGACATGAAAACTGATGATGCACTACCCAATTCCACCTTGTGCATTCTACTATTACAACTGAAAGCCGGACTGAGCGCATCTGTTGGTCACAGATACCTAAAACAAATAAAATAATTGCCATCGATAAAATGCAATTTTGTTCGTTGTCCGTAGCATGCCTGCCCATACCATAACTCCACCGCCACCATGGGGCACTCTGTTCACAACGTTGTCATCAGCAAGCAGCTCGCCCGCACAAAGCCATAAACATGGTCTGCAGTTATGAGGCCGGTAGGATGTACTGACAAATTCTCTAAAATGACGTTGGAGGCGGCTTATGATAGAGAAATTAACATTCAATTATCTGGCAACAGCTCTGGTGGACATTCCTGCAGTCAGCATGCAATTGCATTCTCCCTCAACTTGAGACATCTGTGGCATTGTGTTGTGTGACAACATTTTAGAGTGGCCTTTTATTGTCCCCAGCACAAGGTGCACCTATGTAATGAACATGCTGTTTAATCAGCTTCTTGATATGCCACACCTGTCAGGTGGATGGATTATATTGGCAAAGGAGTAATGCTCACTAACAAGGATGTAAACAAATTTGTGCAAAACATTTGAGAAAAATAAGCTTTTTGTGCATATGGAAAGTTTCTGGGAACGTTTATTTCAGCTCATGAAACAATGGACCAACACTTTACATGTTGCGTTTATATTTGTGTTCAGTGTAGTTTCCCGGGCTAGTCTTTGATGTGGAAAAGCCCATGGGAACGTGGACGTGTCGCTGTGAGAAGACAAACCTACATTGTGAGAGATGGGAGGTGTTGCTAGTCGTGAGTGGCCCAGAGCGGGGAGACTGATGCAATGGATGCTAGAGCTCATCTTTCCTAGCCTAGGCCCCCATCTGTTTGCGCTATCTTGCCAACACCTTGTCAATAATGTTTGGCATGACACATGTTTGGCACGACAGTTCCATAAGGAGAGTAGAAACAAGAGATGGCAAGAGACAAACTGGCACCAACACTGGGTTCTTCAGCTGTCCCCATAGGATAACTATTTTTGGTTCCAGTAAAAAACAATTTTGGGTTCTACATGGAACACAAAACGGTTCTACTTGGAACCAAAAGGGTTCTACCTGGAACCAACAAGGGTTCTTTAAAAGGTTATCCTATGGGGACAGCCGAAGATCCCGTTTAGGTTCTAGATAGCACCTTTTTTGGTGGGGGGACTGAAGGCCAATCCATAATGTATAAGTTCCCTCTCTTCCTAGTCAAAACTAATCCTTTCTTCATCAGTCGCTATGGTTGAGTCACCGGTCTCTCACATAAGGAGCCATCTTAAGTCTGACGTAGACTCCTAATCCTCTCTTTGTCCTGGTCTTCCTCAATACCCCGTAGTTACAGACACACTCTGCCTTCCCTCATCCTCCATCTCTCCTTTTCCTTTCCCTCTTCTATCCTCCTCTCCTCCGTGCTCTATGATGTAGGCCTAGTTGAATATTAAATAGGAAATGTGATAGCAGGAGCTAAAATAGGCTAATGAGCCAATGAAAAGTAGAGCTGTGGTGTACATCAGAGCATCACAGGGGTAACTCTCCCTCTCCCGCTCTCTGACAATGAAAATCTTGATACAGTCCGATATGTATTAATTAAGCAATAAGGCACGAGGGGGTGTGGTATATGGCCAATATACCACTGCTAAGGGCTGTTCTTATGCACGACGCAACGCGGAGTGCCTGGATACAGCCCTTAGCCGTGGTATATATATAAATACATGTTTTGTCATACCTGTGGTATACGGTCTGATATACCACGGCTGTCAGCCAATCAGCATTCAGGGCACGAACCACCCAGTTTATAATTATTAATAACCAATATCTCTTTCCCCCATCCCCTTTCTTTTATCTCTCACTTTCTGCCACCTCCCTTTCTCCTTTCTTCCTCCCCTCATGCTCTTCAGATGTTCCTTGTGGCCCTGTCGTTTGCCTACTTTGCCAAGGCCTTGTCTGGCAGCTACATGAAGAGCACAATAACCCAGCTGGAGAGACGCTTTGACATCCCCAGTTCCCTAACAGGTGTCATCGACGGGAGCTTTGAGATAGGTAAGTAAGTGTCTGCGTCACAGGTCCCCATCCCCCTGTCCCCACCCCCCCTCCTCGTCCTCATCCCCAGGGCTATTTTGGTCTTCCGTTCTATCCATGTTGTTGTGGAAGAGAAGAGATGTGAATGAATGGGTCACCAAGGCCTTCTAGGAAGTCACCAGGGGCCACATTTATCAAAGAAAAAAAAACTCTAAACCTTGTGTGCACCAGATGTCCCACAAAGGTTGGTATTTATCCATTTTGAACTTGCGGGAAAGTGTGCGTATCTCCATGTGCAGCTCAGACCATTCGTACGCACAACTTCTAGTGGCTGATCAATTGTATTGCAAGCAAATATTGTTCTAATGGGGGAAATGGTGTTTGATGCACGGGAATAATAATAACATTAAAACATGGACCTAATGATAAGACAGATGCATTTGCCGTTGGTAAGGAGATCGCATAGCAGCATGTAGCCTAATATATTTATTTTACTTTTATTATATAGGCCTAAATCATAATCATATAGCAAGACATGTCTCTCCTTTTCTGACATGACTGGTTTATTCCCGCTACACAACAACTATTAAGCTACCATTTATCCATCGCTCATTCAATAGCCAAGCATGCTCGAAAGTAAATAGACCGGTAGCCTATTTAAAATATTTGACATTGCTGTGTGGTAGCCTATTTCATCTCAGAGCCTATCCCAAGGCAGGAGATATAAACACAATCATGTACTGATGAACAAAATATTAAACAACATTTCGTCTTTTGATTAGAAGTGTGGGCTGAAGCATAAATTGTTCGATTAGACAATCAATCTTGCAGAATGCACGGCCAGTGTTTGGCACTCGCTATAGGCGGCATGCATTTTTTTTTTTGAAAGGCACTGAAACACATTCTGCCCACACCTCTACAGAAATGTGATCAAATTTACCATTGAGCCTTCTTTGAGAAACTGTCAAGGCCCAGTTCCAACATCATGCTATCGCATGTGAATTGTGCAGTGAAATGCTTATGTTTCTAGCTCCAACAGTGCAGTAGTATCTAGCAATACAATAATGCCCCCCCAAAAAACAAAAAAATACTAGAAATTAAGAAATATCAGAAGTAGCTATATGTACTGCATTTTGTTTTACCATGCTGCCCTACGCTCGGCAACAAAAACAATAACGGTGGTGGAGCAGCCAGTGGTGCTGTTTCCCCCTACTGCAGATTCCATCTCTATGGGTTTGGTTAAGGTTAGGGTTAAGGTAAGGGGTCAGTTTTAGATTTTGATTAGTCATTTTGCAGGTCAGTAGTGTCCTTATAGAGTCTCCCTTCAGCCCATGCCTTAGGAGTATATATAAACACCTCTCTGCCTCAAAGGCCTTTAATATTGCAGACAGATTGTGGCTTCCATCAATGTAATTGTCTGCATAATTTCCAATCCCCCATATATCGTTTGGGTAAATATATGTATATAAATATATATCTATATATATTATATTATTATTTTCCCCTAACCCAACCACCCTTCCCCTAATTGGAGTAAACTAATGGACAACAACACTTAGGCTTCAACTTCCAGCTTATACATACTGCAGTTGAAGTCGGAAGTTTACATACACTTAGGTTGGAGTCATTAAAACTTGTTTTTCAACCACTCCACAAATGTCTTGTTAAAAAACGACAGTTTTGGCAAGTCGGTTAGGACATCTACTTTGTGCATGACACAAGTAATTTTTCCAACAATTGTTTACGGACAGATTATTTCACTTATAATTCACTGTATCACCATTCCAGTGGGTCAGAAGTTTACATACACTAAGTTGACTGTGCCTTTAAACAGCTTGGAAATTTCCAGAAAATGGTGTCATGGTTTAGAAGCTTCTGATAGGCTAATTGACATAATTTGAGTCAATTGGAGGTGTACCTGTGGATGTATTTCAAGGCCTACCTTCAAACTCAGTGCCTCTTTGCTTGACATCATGGGAAGATGAAAAGAAATCAGCAAGACCTCCGAAAAAAAATTGTAGACCTCCACAAGTCTGGTTCATCCTTGGGAGCAATTTCCAAACGCCTGAAGGTACCACGTTCATCTGGTCTGATGGAACAAAAATAGAACTCTTTGGCCATAATGACCATCGTTATGTTTGGAGGAAAAAGGGGGTAGCTTTCAAGCTGAAGAACACCATCCCAACCGTGAAGCACGGGGGTGGCAGCATCATGCTGTGGGGGTGCTTTGCTGCAGAAGGGACTGGTGCACTTCACAAAATAGATGGCATCATGAGGAAGGAAAATGATGTGGATATTTTGAAGCAACATCTCAAGACATCAATCAGGAAGTTAAAGCTTGGTCGCAAATGGGTCTTCCAAAGGATAATGACCCCAAGCATACTTCCAAAGTTGTGGCAAAATGGCTTAAGGACAACAAAGTCAAGGTATTGGAGTGGCCATCACAAAGCCCTGACCTCAGTCCTATAGAACATGTGTGGGCAGAATTGAAAAAGCGTGTGTGAGAAAGGAAGCCTACAAACCTGACTCAGTTACACCAGTTCTGTCAGGAGGAATGGGCCAACATTCAGCCAACTTATTGTGGGAAGCTTTTGGAAGGCTACCCAAAATGTTTGACCCAAGTTAAACAATTTAAAGGCAATGCTACCAAATACTAATTGAGTGTATGTAAACTTCTGACCCACTGGGAATGTCATGAAATAAATAAAAGCTGAAATAAATAATTCTCTCTACAATTATTCTGACATTTCACACTTAAAATAAAGTGGTGATCCTAACTGACCTAAGACAGGGACTTTTTACTAGGATTAAATGTCAGGAATTGTTAAAAACTGAGTTTAAATGTATTTGGCTAAGGTGTATGTAAACTTCCGACTTCAACTGTATATACTTTTTACGGACACAGTATATTTGACAATAGTTATCTTTTGTTCGTTTTTAGTCCCATCCTTCAGCTACCCTCAACCCCTCCCATCTATCTCTGAAGACCATCCCGTTTTTATTTCTATATACATTTTACGGACACAGTATATTGTACATTAGTTATCTTGTTATTTTTAGTCCCACCCTTCAGCTTGCCTCAAGGGCCTTTCTGTGTAGAGTAGACGGAAACCAGGAGAAGCCTGCTGTAGGATGCGCTGTGTGCCTCTTGTCATGGCTCCAATGGCCCCTACCACAGGGAGAGAGAACAACAAGAGAAAAGTGCTGAAGCGACTCAGGAGAGCTCCATAGACTAGCCTCAAAGGCCTTTCTTTATTTAACCACTCTCTAATAGCAGGATGTACTCTGTACCTCTTGACCTGCTCAAACCATAGAGACATTTCCCTTTTGGGAAACCCTTAGCAACAAACAAAGCAGTTATTCTAGTCCACACAGTATTCTAAATAAATGAAGGAAAAATAAACACATTCACAGTCAGTGAGTTCAGGTGTTTTCAGCACAATAGCTCTCAGCACAATGAAAACTGTTATTGTCCTTAAGCAGTATTTTAAACTAACGAAGGGCACAATGACACTTTCACTACCTGGCATTTCCAAGTGCTAGGTTGGCCTTAGTCAGAGGACAGTTATTTCAGGAGTTCAGAAGTTGAGGCATTGTACAGCAGGTTTCTGAAGTGGGACTTTCCAAGCCTACCTACTCCTCTTAATAGTGAGAGCGGATGGACGTCCTTAATAAGGAATTGACATCATCCCTCCATCCCTCCATCCTTGAAAAACAACAATTGGTTCAATCATGAAATGGCTGCTTTTATTTTACCTCATTAAAGTCTTTATCGCCCACTGCTCTCCTCCACTACCCAATTTTCTCTCTCTCTCTCTCTAACATTCTAACTCGCTCTCCTCTATCAACTCCCCCCCTTCTCTCTCTCTCTCTCTCTCTCTCTCTCTCTCTCTCTCTCTCTCTCTCTCTCTCTGTCTCTCTCTGTCTCTCTCTCTCTCTCTCTCTCTATCTCTCTCTCTCTCTCTCTCTCTCTCTCTCTCTCTATCTCTCTCTCTCTCACACACACACCCACCCCTCTCTCTCGCTCTGTCTCTCTCTCGCTCTACCCCAACCCCCCTCCCTCCTCTCTCTCTATCCAGGCTACGGCACAGTCATTCAATTGGCCTTCGTCATTCGATTTGGAAGGTTCTTCTTTTCTTATGATCCAATTTGTAAGCATTATCAACAGAGTGAATGTGAAAATGGATTCAAAATGGTCGCCTTCTGCTGGTGGTTTGCAGGATGGCAATGATATAAGTAAAAGGAGGGCTGTGATTGGTTGGTGATATTGTCTACTATGCCAATTTCTCTGTATTAAATGGGCCATAACTTTAAAATTAGCAGAGATCCAACTCTGGAACTTTGATATGCCCATAGAGTATATTATTTTCAACAATATATTTGCCAAATACGTTTTTGTATATTTTCAATATTCATGTTTATATTTTTCTATATTCATATATTATTGTAAGAAATGTGTTCTTGAAATCAAAATACTACTTATATTACAGAGCTAGCGGTAAAGCTTCATATGACACACATTTCTGCTTTGTAGTATCTACAGATGAGACATTATGGAGTCTTAAGGGAGACCAAAATGTCAGAAATATGGCAACTTTGATTCATTATTTCTCAATTATGCTTTTAGATACAAATGTCAAATATATGTCAACAACATATGTCATTTTTTGGTCTGGGTTTTGTGAGGAATCACTCTATAGTGGGAATTAGGAAACCAACGGTGCCACTATGTTGAAACTCAATGTACCAACACTCTTACATCAATGAGAGGAATTAGGCATTGTGATTGTGAATAAATTGAACTGGGTTCAGTTCCATGTCAACTCGACAATTCAAGAATCCATTCAGGAATGGAATCGAAATAGAGTTGTAACTAGAATAACCTTAACATTTTACTTTTTCAATTCGTGAATTGAATCTCAATTAATCAGATTAGTCAATTTGAGAATTGAAATGGGAACTAAGAACAGACCAATTCTGTGTCTGTCTGTCCCCCTACCAGGTAACCTGTTGGTGATAGCATTCGTGAGTTACTTTGGTGCAAAGCTGCATCGGCCCAAGATCATAGCCATGGGCTGTGTACTGATGGCAGTGGGAACATTCATCATCGCTCTGCCACACTTCCTCATCGGACGGTGAGGTTTTACTGACTTTTGAAGGAGGATTCATTTCCAGCATCCTTTTCAAATCAAATGTTATTGCATACACATATTTAGCAGATGTTATTGCGGCTGTAGCTAAATGCTTTTTTGAATGCACTTGTGGTACAGTAAGCTAAAGCTTATCTGGATATGTGTGTAAGTGTGTGCCTGTGCGCTTGTGTGTACTCTAGTCTGCATTACGTTTCCAGTTATCCCCTGTTTAAAGGAAATGTCAGTCTACAGTGCATTAGGAAAGTGTTCAGACCCCTTGACTTTTTCCACATTTTGTTACGTTACAGCTTTATTCTAAAATTGATTAAATCGACACACAATACCCCATAATGACAAAGCAAAAACAGTTTTTTAGAAATTTTTGCAAATGTATAAAAAATAAAAACGGAAATATCACATTTACATAGTATTCAGACCCTTTACTCAGTACTTTGTTGAAGCACCTTTGGAAGCGATTACAGCCTCGAGTCTTCTTGGGTATGACGTTACAAGCTTCGCACACCTGAATTTGGGGAGTTTATCCCATTCTTCTCTGCAGATCCTCTCAAGCTATGTCAGGTTGGATGGGGAGAGTCGCTGCACAGCTATTTCAGATCTCTCCAGAGACGTTAGATCGGGTTCAAGTCCGGGCTCTGGCTGGGCCACTCAAAGACATTCAGAGACTTGTCCTGAAGCCACTCCTGCGTTGTCTTGGCTGTGTGCTTAGGGTTGTTGTCCTGTTGGAAGGTGAACCTTCCTGTCTTGGCTTCCGTCTGGCCACTCTACCATAAAGACCTGATTGGTGGAGTGCTGCAGAGATGGTTGTCCTTCTGGACGGTTCTCCCATCTCCACAGAGGAACTCTGGAGCTCTGTCAGAGTGACCATCGGGGTCTTGGGCCCTTCTCCCGTGATTGCTCAGTTTGGCCGGGCGGCCAGCTCTAGGAAGAGTCTTGCTGGTTCTAAACTTGTTCAATTTAAGAATGATGGAGGCCACTGTGTTCTTGGGGACCTTCAATGCTGCACACATTTTTTGGTACCCTTCCCCAGATCTGTGCCTCGACACAATCCTGTCTCGGAGCTCTACGGACAATTCCTTCGACCTCATGGCTTGGTTTTTGCTCTGACTTGCACTGTCAACTGTGGGACCTTATATAGACAGGTGTGTGCCTTTCCAAATCATGTCCAATCAATTGAATTTAAAACAGGTGGACTACAATCAAGTTGTAGAAACATCTCAAGGATGATAAATGGAAACAGGATGCACCTGAGCTCAATTTTGAGTCTCATAGCAAAGGGTCTGAATACTTATGTAAATAAGGTACTTCAGTTTTTTTATTTGAAAACATTTGCAAAGATTTCTAAAAACCTGTTTTCGCTTTGTCATTATGGGGTATTGTGTGTAGATTGATGGAACAAAATGTGGAAAAAGTCAAGGGGTCTGAATACTTTCTGAATGCACTGTATTTCTGTGTGTTTGTATAATGTCTGATAAAGGACGGATATCACTGACTCTGTATGATATGCTAATATACTGTATTTTGTACATATTTTATATATTGTATAGCATCGTTTGTGGGATGAAGCATGGTTGTGTGTTATCATGTGTTCTCATTAGCTTGGCTTGGTCATGAAAGTTTGATCAGTCAGAATATATTATCCCATCCCACAAGATGGGAACATAGTGAATCTTAAAGAGTATATGCTGCACTGTATGGAGTCTCTTTACTGAAATGCATTTTTACAGCTGTTGGATGTTTTTCAGAAAAACATTTCAGTCGCCAATTGTTTGTATTTTACAGGGGAAGCCAGGAAAGCTTCTTCCTATCATTAAGTATTGCTTATAACATGACGTGCTTGAATGTATAAAACGTTGTTTCCTAAATGTTTCATTGCATATCCAAAGCACTCATGTTCTGCTTTGTCTCTGTCCTCTCTACTGTATAACGTGGTGCTTTCTTCGTTCCCTTCGCTAAACAGTTGCATTGGTGTTTTGTACGCAGCTATAAGTTCGAAACGTCAATCCGATCGTCAGTGAATTCAACCAATAACCTCTCCCCATGTCCAGCGCGCCTGTTGTCACCCTCCGCGCTAGCTTCGGGTGACCCGCTTTCTGAGGCACCAAGCACAGGGACAGGTGTGTCACCTACACACATGCTCATGTGCATACATACATGCAAACACGTGCGCGCGCACACACACACACACACACACACACATACACACACACACACCCACACACACAGTGCTCTGTAACTATTCTCTCTCTCCCTCCCCCTTCCCAGTAGGTTGTGAAGGAGAGTCCAATCTCTCCATGTGGATCTATGTGTTCCTGGGGAACGTCTTACGAGGGATCGGGGAGACTCCAGTGCAGCCCCTTGGGATCTCGTATATAGATGATTTCGCCAGGGAGGAAAATGCTGCATTTTACATTGGTAATACACCAATTGGAAATACAAACACACTTTAGATAATGTCACTGTGCATGATTTGAAGTACAATCATCCATATGTTAAGTAGATTTGACAGTCTGAATAAACTGCCTTTCAATCTGATTCATACACTAAGGGCCCGATTCAATCAGATCCGCTTTAGCCGACATCCGCATAGCTGATGTTTAAATGGTGTGGGAGGTGGAACTGCATTAGAGCTGTCAAATCCACAAGTGGCTCCCAGCTTTACACGTAAAGCAGACATTGCCATTGGCTGCACGGAGTCACATTATCAGAAATCCCATGCAGACTTTTTTACAAGTTCGAACACTGGAACGTGAGATGTAATCTACATCTCGATTAGAATAATCAAAAATCATCATTATTTAGTTTAATGATTTTTCAATGTGAGCGTAATTATTTCTATATAGCCTACACTTTCTCTTTCTGAAAGTGGGGCTGTAACGCACGCCGCCAAAACATACGCTATGCAGGTGTCTGCTATCACCGGTTAACGCTTGATCTCATTGAATCTAGCTCTTTGTGATAACATGAATGGACGAACGCTCTTTGACCTTTTAGAAATCACACAACAACTGTCTTATTGTTGACTGCCTTATGGAGCTGTCTCTGTTTAGTATAATAAATCAATTGCTGTGTATGTGCACGTGTGTGCGTGCTTATGTGTCTTTCATATTTCAGGCTGCGTTCAGACCATAGCAGTCATTGGTCCTGTGTTTGGCTATTTACTGGGATCCCTGTGTGCCAAAATATATGTGGACATTGGATTTGTCAACATGGGTGAGTAAACGGTATCTAGCGAAATACAGAGTATTCTGTCTGGGCTGCCTACACACTTTTGGACTGTACTACTGAGTTCTCCAGTTTAGACAGAGACAGGGCATTCACCTCTGTTCTGTTACTACTAGACTAACAAACAGGGTTCTGAGTTAAGTTCATTGTCGTTCCTAGAGTGCAATCGCTGACTGTGTTCAATAAGTGTTTTTTATGTATGCTCATGCTTCTAGATTCTAGGTTATAGGACTAAATGAACTAGTGTGCTCCAGAACGCTGTTCAGTGACGTCAGCTACTTAATTTGAGTAACCAATATGAAGCAGGAGAGATGGTTAAGATATGCACAAAAAGCAGCTGTGCTGTGCTCTTTTTGTTCTCTCCAGTAAGTCTTGTTGCTAGGAACGTTGCTAGTGTTCTCACAGTTATTCTCATAATGTATTTTGTCCCCAACAGTCACAGCTCTCTCTCTCTCTCTGTGCTTGTCCTCCCTGTATAGAGACTATCACCATAGCCTTCTCTTGTTGTGTATATGTACTGACATGTACAGTACCAGTCAAAAGTTTGGACACACCTACTCATTCAAGGGTTTTTCTTTATTTTTTACTATTTTTTACATTGTAGAATAATAGTGAAGACATCAAAACTATGAAATAACACATATGGAATCATGTATTAACCAAAAAAGTGTTAAACAAATCAAAATATATTTTATATTTGAGATTCTTCAAATAGCCACCCTTTTGCATTGATGACAGCTTTGCACACTCTTCGCATTCTCTCAACCAGCTTCACCTGGAATGCTTTTCCAACAGTCTTGAAGGAGTTCACACACATGCTGAGCACGACTCATCCCAAACCATCTCAATTGGGTTGAGGTTGGGAGATTGTGGAGGCCAGGTCATCTGATGCAGCACTCCATCACTCTACTTCTTGGTAAAATAGCCCTTACACAGCCTGGAGGTGTGTTGGGACATTGTCCTGTTGAAAAACAAATGATAGTCCCACTAAGCCCAAACCAGATGGGATGGCATATCGCTGCAGAATGCTGTGGTAGCCATGCTGGTTAAATAAATCACAGACAGTGTCACCTGCAAAGCAACCCCACACCATAACACCTCCTCCTCCGTGCTTTACGGTGGGATCTACACATGCAGAGATCATCCGTTCACCCACAAAGACACGGCGGTTTGAACCAAAAATCTCCAATTTGGACTCTAGACCAAAGGACACATTTCCACTGGTCTAATGTCCATTGCTCGTGTTTCTTGACCCAAGCAGGTCTCTTCTTATTATTGGTGTTCTTTAGTAGTGGTTTCTTTGCAGCAATTCGATCATGAAGGCCTGATTCACACAGTCCCCTCTGAACAGTTGATGTTGAGATGTGTCTGTTACTTGAACTCTGTGAAGCATTTATTTGGCCTGCAATTTCAGAGGCTGGTAACTCTAATGAACTTATCCTCTGCAGCAGAGGTAACTCTGGGTCTTCCATTCCTGTGGCGGTCCTCATGAGAGCCAGTTTCATCATAGCGCTTGATGGTTTTTGCGACTACACTTGAAGAAACTTTCAAAGTTCTTGAAATGTTCCGTATTGACTGACCTTCATGTCTTAAAGTAATGATGGACTGTCATTTCTCTTTGCTTATTTGAGCTGTTCTTGCCATAATATGGACTTGGTCTTTTCCCAAATAGGGCTATCTTCTGTATACCCCCCCTACCTTGTCACAACACAACTGATTGGCTCAAACGCGTTAAGAAGGAAAGAAATTCCATAAATTAACTTTTAAGAAAGCACACCTGTTAATTGAAATGCATTCCAGGGGACTACCTCATGAAGCTGGTTGAGAGAATGCCAAGAGTGTGCAAAGCTGTCATCAAGGCAAAGGGTGGCTATTTGAAGAATCTCAAATATAAAATATATTTTGATTTGTTTAACACTTTTTTGGTTACTACATGATTCCATATGTGTTATTTAATAGTTTTGATGTCTTCACTATTATTCTACAATGTAAAAAATAGTAAAAATAAAGAAAAACCTTTGAATGAGTAGGTGTGTCCAAACTTTTGACTGGTAGTGTATGTGTAACTGATAGATGCACACACACACTACATGTTAATGTTTTGAAATGTATGTAAATTGTAAAGTCTTTTGTCTGTAATGTATTTTTCGTTATGTGTCGGACTCCAGTAAGACTAGCTGTCACCATTGGCGTCGGCTAATGCGGATCCTAATAAATCAAATTAAATCAAGTTCTGTTTCTCCACTCCCTGTATAGAGAGTATCACCATAACCCCTGGTGATGCTCGCTGGGTGGGGGCCTGGTGGTTAGGTTACCTTATAGCTGGGGTGATCACCCTGCTTTCAGCCATCCCCTTCTGGTTCCTGCCCCGTTCCCTGCCCATCCCGTCAGACCGAGGCCCAGCCCAGTGCACCCCGGAGCAGACTAGCTTCATCAAAGACTCCCCTCTTCTGGAGCATAAATACAAAGCTGACGAGCCAGACAGCTTTCTGGAGATGGCCAAAGGTATTTTGTTGAATGGGGATAAAGTTAGAACATCTTCTGGTTTAGATTATGATTGGAGTTTAAAAAGGCTTTTTCAAAGTCTGTTCAGGTAAAATTGTATATTAAATTCAGGTTGCTTTGGATGAAATGACCATAGTATGAAAAAAGGTCGACAAAAATGACCTTCACAACTGATGACGTCGTTGACGACTGATGATGTTTTGTTGATTGTTTTTCATCTAGATTTCATACCAACGTTGAAAACCCTCCTGGGGAACCCAGTGTACTTCATCTACCTGTGTGTGACCATCATTCAGCTGAACTCTCTCATCGGCATGGTAACCTACAAGCCCAAGTACATAGAGCAGCATTACGGACAGTCAGCATCAAAAGCCAATTTCCTGATGGGTACGTAACGTTGGTCAATCATATAGCTTATATGCCTTGACCACTGTTGGGGAACGTTACTTTTAAAAGTAACTTGTTATGTTACAACGTTGCTTCCATTAAAAGTAACTTGGTACGTTACAACGTTACTTACTATGGAAAGTAACTTGTTACATTACTTTTGTGTTACCAAAAACAAAAAGCCCTCTGAAGATGGTCATTCTTATAGGCCCAGTGCAGTCAAAAACGAATAAATACAAAGTCAACATTGGCCTCATGGTGAAATCCCTGAGTGGTCTCCTTCCTTTCTGGGAACTGAGTTAGGAAGGACGCCTGGATCTTTGTAGTGACTGGGTGTATTGATACACCATCCAAAGTGTAATTAATAACTTCACCATGTTCAAAGGGATATTCAATGTCTGCTTTTTTATTTTTACCCCTCTACCAATAGGTTCCCTTCTTTATGAGGCATTGGAAAACCTCCCTGGTCTTTGTGGTTGAATCTGTTTGAAATTCACTGCTCGACTGAGGGACCTTACAGATAATTGTATGTGTGGGGTACAGGGATGAGGTAGTCATTAATACATCATGTTAAACACTATTGTTGCACTTAGAGTGAGTCAATGCAACTTATTATGTGACTTGTTAAGCACATTTTTACTCCTGAACTTATTTAGGCTTGCCATAACAAAGGGGTTGAATACTTATTGACTCAAGACATTTCAGCTTTTAATTTTTAATTAATTTCTATAAATGTCTAAAAACATCATTCCACTTTGACATTATGGGGTATTGTGTGTGTGTAGGCCAATCACACAAAATCTCAATTTAATCAATTTTAAATTCAGGCTGTAATACAAGAAAATGTGGAAAAAGTCAAGGGGTATGAATACTTTCCGAAGGCACTGTACAAAACTAACTGGGCACAGTAAAACGAGAGCTCAAATACAAGGACAACTGGCTACCAATCTGTTTTACTCACAGATACATACTTGGCAGAGAGATATGAAAATACACAAGTTAACATGAGCAATAGCCCTTTCCAAACATGCAATTCATGAACCACAACAACCAGATCGTCTCGATACCAACTAGTTTAATTATTTTCATAGAAGTTACAGGCGCATAGGCTTTTCAAAAGGACAACCTATGCACATTACAACATTCATAGCTCAAAGTCAAAATAAAACCGCTCACCTTCAATCACAACTTGGTGATTTATTTCACTGCTTTCCTCCAATGTAGCGATTAGCATTATACCGCACAAGAAGATGTCTGAAGGTGCTTCTTGAGATTTGAAGTGGAGTTCTTTGCAGCTGACAGGCGCTTATCCCAGAGGCACAGTTAGCATTTTACTATGATGTTCCTGTCCTTTTCCCCTACCAATTCAAAGTAATGCGAATTCTTCCACAATGTAAAGGCTATTGTCTCTGCCATCTCACTAGCTAGAAACAAAGAAAAAAGGGAATAATATTGTAAACGTAATGGCTTGCTTATTTGAAAACGTAATTAAGTAACTGATTAAAAAATTGAGAAATGAACGTGTTAAGTTACTCGTTACCACAAAAAAGAAATCTTAGTACTCTGACCCGTTACTTTGTAACACGTTACCCCCAACACTGGCTTTGATTCATCTCCTACATGAGCTAGTTCAATTTAGATTTGAAACTTGAAAGGACTCGCTTTATGCATAGATAAGCTCATGCATAAAATATTGTTAATGCTAGATCAAGCAATAGGAGATCAACGTTGCTGTTTTATTGAGCTATGCAATGTGTTATGATTCAACCCTAAAATGTGTATGTTGATCTAAATAGGCCTCATGCAACACTATATTGACTTGACCATTGCATGCTGTGTATGAAAGGTAATGCAATATCTAGCATAGCTAATAGAACAGATAGATAAAAGATGATATCTGTACATTGATGTATGAAAAAGACCAACAGCTTTGGTCTTTGAGTGGGAGTTGGACAGGGCTACAGTGTGTTCTCTCTACTTTCAACTACATCAAAGGCTGAGTCTCAGGCGGTATGACCTGGTTCTACTCTACTGTACTGTATGTATAGCTGCATTGGGTTGTAAAATAGCACTGGCATAAAAGGTAGACTTTTAGCTACAGTGATATGAAAGGTAGCAATAGCTATGGTATTGTATGAAAAAGTGAGTTCCTGGTTTAGGGCTTTGGCTGGTTCACATGATGGTGTTTCAGTCCAATTGAACCTATCATCAAGACCTTAGTGCTGACCTAAATCCTCCATGACTAGGAATGAAGAACATTTTTAAAGAAGGAGACCTACGTCTTAACGTTTATAGAGTGTGTGTTGTTTGTGTGTTTGTTCCAGGTACGATCAACATCCCTGCCGTGGCGTTGGGAATTTTCACTGGCGGCCTACTCATGAAGAGGCTGAAGCTGAGCATCATGGGAGCGGCCAAGTTTGCGTTCGGCACCTCTCTGATAGGCTACTTCCTATCCCTCTTATTCTTCGCCATGAGCTGCGAGAACACCAAGGTGGCCGGGATCACACTGCCCTATAACAGGTGGGAGATATACACACACACACACACACACCTCTGGGTAGAAGTTACCCTTAGGTACATACAGTATTTACCCTCTGTATATACAGTACCAATCAAAAGTTTGGACACACCTGCTCATTCAAGGGTTTTTCTTTATTTGTACTATTCTTTACATTGTAGAATAATAGTGAAGACATCAAAACTATGAAATAACACATATGGAATCATGTAGTAAACAAAAAAGTGTTAAACAAATATATTTGAGATTTGAGATTCTTCAAATAGCCACCCTTTGCCTTGATGACAGCTTTGCACACTCTTGGCATTCTCTCAACCAGCTTCACCTAGAATGCTTTTCTAACAGTCTTGAAGGAGTTCCCACATACAGTGGGGAGAACAAGTATTTGATACACTGCCGATTTTGCAGGTTTTCCTACTTACAAAGCATGTAGAGGTCTGTAATTTTTATCATAGGTACACTTCAACTGTGAGAGACGGAATCTAAAACAAAAATCCAGGAAATCACATTGTATGATTTTTAAGTAATTAATTTGCATTTTATTGCATGACATAAGTATTTGATCACCTACCAACCAGTAATTTGATCACCTACCAACATGTTGCGTTTATATTTTTGTTGAGTATATATCTTGTTATGCATTTGATTAAATACACATCCCACCTTATGTATCTGAGCAGGCAGAGGTCAAGTCATGTCTATATAAAGAAAAGCGCTATATAAATTACATATACTATTAATAACAACCCCCTCTCTCTCTCTCTCTCTCTCACTCTCTCTCTCTCTCTCTCTCTCTATCTCTCTCTTTCTCTTTATTTCTCTCTCTCTCTCTCTCAGGGTGGATGGTGTATCATATGAGGAGCCCTCAGTGTTCTCAGCCTGTAACTCAGACTGTGTGTGTTCAGACAAAGACTGGGACCCTGTCTGTGGAGAGGACGGCATCACATACGTCTCTCCCTGCCTGGCCGGCTGCCAGACCTCCACAGGATCAGGGAAGAACACAGTGAGATGAGGATCAAAGCCAGCATGGAGGCTGCATCCCCATATGGCACCCTCTTCCCTATATAGTGTACTACCTTTTGGCTCTGGTTAAAAGTAGTATACCATATAGGGAATAGAGTGCCATTTGAGATGCAAACTGACTGTGTAATCTGATATATCATATTATTGATTCATAAACTTGTGAGCAACAGGGTGGGGGTCTATTCCATTTTAATTTCAGTACGATTTCAGCTGCCAAGTCTGCAGCAATTACATTTCATGAATTGAACTGGAATTGACTCGCACCCTGGTGGGTTTATTGATCACTTTTGAAGCAGCAGGTTATGTTGTTGTTTCTGTTTTTGTGTCAAATTGTTTTGTGTGTGTGCCTGCCTGTGCCTGCATATGTCTGTGTGTGTGTGTGTGTTTGTGTGTCTGTGTGTATGTGTGTGTGTGTGTGTGTGTGTGTGTGTGTGTGTGTGTGTGTGTGTGTGTGTGTGTGTGTGTGTGTGTGTGTGTGTGTGTGTGTGTGTGTGTGTGTGTGTGTGTTTGTGTGCCTGCCTGTGTCTGTGTCTCTGCAGGTGTTCTCTAACTGTAGCTGTGTGGTGACAGCAGGGCTGAGCAGTGGTAATCTGACAGCCAGTGTAGGCCACTGTCCTCACAGAGACGACTGTGACCGCGTCTTCCCTTACTTCCTGGCTCTCTCTGTCATCACTTCATTTATCATCTCCCTGGGTGGCACGCCAGGCTACATGGTCCTCATCAGGTCAGTCACTCACACAAACACAGATACACACACACATACACACACACACACACACACACACACAAGACGGGATGGTCATAGCAGTTGGCAAGACAGCACAAAGAAATCTGGGACTCAGACACCTTAGAGGGGAAACAATCAGAAGCCCCGTTTATACCTGGTTCTAACATGCGTCCGTTGTCCTGATCATGTCCACATTCTGGTTGTGCCCACATTTGTTGACAGGTGTAGACAATCAAAAGACGCATTGTGATCTGATTGTGATTATATCTTTCTGACCACCTCCGGAGATAGTCGAAGACGCATCTTGTACGGATATCCTTGGTGTAAACGAATCCGGACAACGAAAGTGTATACATTTGGCCAACGTCACGTCACGGTTGTCCCGCCCTCTCAAAAAATCACACCAGCCAGTAGAATTAAGGTCTTTAGAAACCAAGTGTCTACTGGCACTGAGGCTGGATATGCATCAGTCCAATATTGCATCCAGCTTTGAATAAAATGGGCATACAGAAATAAAGATATTTATGACGAGATATTGTCCCGAATAAGAGAAAAAGGGTTCTCCCTTTCCCACGTCCAATGCCAGCGCAAAATACAGTGGGGAAAAAAAGTATTTAGTCAGCCACCAATTGTGCAAGTTCTCCCACTTAAAAAGATGAGAGAAGCCTGTAATTTTCATCATAGGTACACGTCAACTATGACAGACAAATTGAGGAAAAAAAATCCAGAAAATCACATTGTAGGATTTTTAATGAATTTATTTGCAAATTATGGTGGAAAATGAGTATTTGGTCACCTACAAAGAAGCAAGATTTCTGGCTCTCACAGACCTGTAACTTCTTCTTTAAGAGGCTCCTCTGTCCTCCACTCGTTACCTGTATTAATGGCACCTGTTTGAACTTGTTATCAGTATAAAAGACACCTGTCCACAACCTCAAACAGTCACACTCCAAACTCCACTATGGCCAAGACCAAAGAGCTGTCAAAGGACACCAGAAACAAAATTGTAGACCTGCACCAGGCTGGGAAGACTGAATCTGCAATAGGTAAGCAGCTTGGTTTGAAGAAATCAACTGTGGGAGCAATTATTAGGAAATGGAAGACATACAAGACCACTGATAATCTCCCTCGATCTGGGGCTCCATGCAAGATCTCACCCCGTGGGGTCAAAATGATCACAAGAACGGTGAGCAAAAATCCCAGAACCACACGGGGGGACCTAGTGAATGACCTGCAGAGAGCTGGGACCAAAGTAACAAAGCCTACCATCAGTAACACACTACGCCGCCAGGGACTCAAATCCTGCAGTGCTAGACGTGTCCCCCTGCTTAAGCCAGTACATGTCCAGGCCCGTCTGAAGTTTGCTAGAGTGCATCCAGAAGAGGATTGGGAAAATGTCATATGGTCAGATGAAACCAAAATATAACTTTTTGGTAAAAACTCAACTCGTCGTGTTTGGAGGACAAAAAATGCTGAGTTGCATCCAAAGAACACCATACCTACTGTGAAGCATGGGGGTGAAAACATCATGCTTTGGGGCTGTTTTTCTGCAAAGGGACCAGGACGACTGATCCGTGTAAAGGAAAGAATGAATGGGGCCATGTATCGTGAGATTTTGAGTGAAAACCTCCTTCCATCAGCAAGGGCATTGAAGATGAAACGTGGCTGGGTCTTTCAGCATGACAATGATCCCAAACACACCGCCCGGGCAACGAAGGAGTGGCTTCGTAAGAAGCATTTCAAGGTCCTGGAGTGGCCTAGCCAGTCTCCAGATCTCAACCCCATAGAAAATCTTTGGAGGGAGTTGAAAGTCCGTGTTGCCCAGCGACAGCCCCAAAACATCACTGCTCTAGAGGAGATCTGCATGGAGGAATGGGCCAAAATACCAGCAACAGTGTGTGAAAACCTTGTGAAGACTTACAGAAAACGTTTGACCTGTGTCATTGCCAACAAAGGGTATATAACAAAGTATTGAGAAACTTTTGTTATTGACCAAATACTTATTTTCCACCATAATTTGCAAATAAATTCATAAAAAATCCTACAATGTGATTTTCTGGTTTTTCTTTTCTCATTTTGTCTGTCATAGTTGACGTGTACCTATGATGAAAATTACAGGCCTCTCTCATCTTTTTAAGTGGGAGAACTTGCACAATTGGTGGCTGACTAAATACTTTTTTTCCCCACTGTATAATATTTGAAAACATTGTAGGCTACAGAAAGGCCAAGGAATTCAGAGATGCACTTTGTAGCCTACTCTGTAAATTAACCTGTTTCTGTTTTTACTGTGTGCATTAGGGCCTAAGTGTCATTTTTATTTATACTGTGCAATAATTGTATTTTGCAAACACATCCAGATACTCAGCTTGTTTGCATGGTGACGTTTTTAGGGATGGGAGAGATTCTCTGAATATTTATTTTGTACGGCTGTGGACAGGTCCAGGTTATCGGGACAGTAGCCTATTACACCCAGTCTTAAATCCTTGGGTAACAAAAGTAGGCTGTAATGATGAGTATGAAACTATTGATTATAAAAGTGTGCTGTTTTCTGTTGATTTATACAGCGTGTCATAACGGAGGTTCAAGGCAGGTTGGATGAATTTGCATACAGGGAGGGACCAGGGAATCTGGTCACAATAGGGATGAATTGGGCAGATAAGAGACAGATATTACCATGTGTAGACGCAACAAATCTCGATCAGATAGTGATCGGATCATGTTGATCGGATGATGACAACCATATGTTAATGCAAGGTGTAACCATGGCTACTGAGAAAACCTAAACTGCATTAGGTCTACTACATTTACCTGCACCACCTTGTTCAGAATGATCTCGCCCAGAAAGTTCTCACAAACACTTGGCTACTACTGTACAGTAGTACACCATGGGTAACACTGTAGTGAAATGGGCTCACAATGGGTGACAGAATGGCTGACAGAAGTTGAATGTAGTCTGTGCAACAGACTTAGTCTGCTAAATGGCATATTACTTAGGCCAGGATTCAATCAAACTGCACTTTGTCTGCTATGCGCCATTTCAAGGTAATTTTCCATTCAGCCGACATATGCATTGTTTACGACGAACGCGGTCTCTGTGAACGGGAAAACATTCCCTTTAAAAGCTGCATAGCAGACAAATCGCGATCAGATTGAATTCCGGCCTTGAAGAGACGTGTTGCAACCATAGAGAATGATAGAGGCCTCTAGTGGCCAAAAGGCCGTCTTAGGGCAGGGCCATTGAGGGCTTCCACCATTTTTATGTAGTCATCTGGGTGGAACTTACAACTTTATTGGCTGATCCCTTCTGGTGACTCTGTTGGAGTCATGTCCAACCGGGTCATCAGGAGGGATCGACCAATTGCGAAGAAGGAAATGTACAACTTTAAAATGGAGATAGCCTCTATAGAGTCATAATATTCATAAAAACCTAGAGGTCAAACAGGGAAATGGTTCCAATCGTTCATTTTTCCTATAGGGGATTTTAGAAACACTTAAAATAAGAGCTGTGTTTCGTGTAGGCTTACCCTGGAGTGATGTCTGACTGGACTGAGAGATCATTTTTTATGAGTCAACTCGTTGTTCTTCCTGCTCTCTATCTGTGTGTCTATTCAGGGTTATAATATAGCAGTAAACATAGCTTCATTACACTTTAAGTACATTTCATTTCAATCTTTATCCCACGGCATACTTAATAGGGGTTATAGGAAAGTCAGCAATAGAGGTTTTCACTGTATATCAGAAAAGTAGAATATGTGATTTGGAGCAGTACTGTTACTGGCTAAAATGAGTCCTTAATTAGCCTTGGCCAGCTTCGAGCATGTACACAAATGCACATACATACGCACGCACACACACACGAACACAAACACAAACCACAATCCAGCAGATCCGCCCAAAGCTCGATCAGCTGACCCCGATGAAATGTGTTGCACTTACTGGGACAAATGAAGTTACTGGCAGTGCCCTATTTCCTTTTTCTTTTGTTCTGATATTTTTAGAGTCTTAGTTGTCTGAGATGGGTCTGCTTCTGTTTTTGCTCTGGGACTTGAGAGAACAGCTGAATAGCAAGGTAGTAAGGGCAGACCTTTCTGACAGTGTACTACCTTGCTCTACCAACATAGGTCAGTAGTACTCACTCTTTGGTACTCACTGGCTATGTCAGAGAACGTCTTAAGTCAACTTACTGTATGTCAACAACACTGGTCTTTTGAGTTGACCTTTAAAGATGACTGAGTATGCAAACATAATAATTTCTTTAAATGTGTTGGTCTTTGAACCATAACTCATTTGTGGATGTTTTCATATCGTGACATTTCATTCATAATATCTTCAGGTATAGCTATATCTATTATCTGTATTCATAGTTATGGTAAAGTTCAAGTTGATGATGGTAAGTAAGCTTAACATATGTGTTCTCCCATGCAGGTGTATCAAGCCTCAACTGAAGTCCTTAGCTCTGGGGTTCCATACTCTGTCCACACGTACACTTGGTGAGTCAATACGGTCAGATCACAGATCTAGGATCAGTTTACCACCCAAAATGTTAACACGTGGGGGGCACAAAACTGACCTTAGATCAGCGTCTAGGGGCAACTTCCTCCTACTCCTGTCTGATCAAGCCATACCAGTCCCACAGCCAGCGGCCGGCAGCTTAGCAACCCTGATATAAAACTAGCTGCAGCCAGTTTGTTTCCAAGTCACACATTTCTCCACTACTCAGCTTCTATTAGGATTAAAACCCTGAACAAAATCCTCTTAAAAATCCACTCTTTTGCAAAGGTAATCCTAGAAAAAGTATTACTTGTGAATCAGGTGTGTTAGCTCTGGGTTGGAACACAATCCTGCACACACTGGCCTTTTCCATGAGCAAGATTAGCCACCTCCGTATTACTGGTAGATCAGTTTGTGTGTGTTTGTGTTCTAACAGCGGGTATCCCAGCGCCCATCTACTTTGGGGCGATCATCGACACCACGTGCCTGAAGTGGGGCCAGAAGAGATGTGGAGGGACAGGAGCCTGTCGGATATACAACACTACATCATACAGGTAATACACACATACACACTACTGGTCAAGCCTGATACACAACATAAACGCACACAGACAACACACTTACTTCAAAGTGATAATGTCAGAGAGGCATAGCCTCTATAAGATAAGATGCTGAACATTGATTTGCAAGCCAATATGGAAGGCAACCCCAGTAGACTTGCCACTTAAAGCACCCGTGTAATGTCAGGTCTCTGTGTGTGTATCCCCTGGTCTCTCTCTCCTCAGGATAGCGTACCTGGGTCTGACTATGGGCCTGAGGACAGTTTCCTTCCTGCTGTGTATATTGGGATTTGTGCTGCTCAAACGACACCTGCGGAGAGAGGAACGCAGCGCCCACCAAGTGGCCAATGGCGGAGCAGAACTGGAGGCACTCAGGAAAGAGGAGGTCCTAGCCTTCAACTCGGACCAATCACTACGGACTTCAACAACAGACTACAACAACACAGAGAGAGAGACACGGCTGTGACAGTCTGAGCCAATCTCCTCTGATCCCTCACGTTACACACACACACACACACACACACACGCGAGATGTGCAGGAACCAACAACACTCTGCGCCTGACCATCTCATCTTATAGAACATAAATTATATATTTGTACTGGACCTGTCTAGGTTATGTATAGTAAAAAAATAACATGTTTTTGATATAACTGAAGTATTTAATGGATGTACCTGCTGTATTTTACAAAAACACAAATGTAACAACAAAGAATGTCATCTTTGTTGTTGGTACAAAGAAAGCATTTGATTGAATTTGTTAACCATTGGTTAATTGTTTTTACTGCAGTGAGAGTCCAGTTTCGGTCACTGAGTATTTTTGTAACAACTCTTAAGGTAGTCTACATTATAATATTGTTAGACAGCCTCAATCTGTTGAAAGAGAATGTCAGACATTCTGTGTTTCACTACTGTAAACATTGCCAAAATGTGATCTCAATAGCCCTGTTTATACCGGGTTCTAACATGCATCCTTCGTCCTGATCTTGATTGGCCAGTGTTACCTAGTGTTGATATTTCAGTTTAACATTTGTAGTGTTGATTCCGGTGTTCAATTAACTCTGTAAGTGTTAAAATTAACACTCAGTGGTGTAAAATAACCCCACTGTTGGTGTTAATAACATGTGTTAAACCAAAACCACACTCATCATTATAATATTTCCCAGCATGCTCTATTGCAGGTAGATTTTTTTTTTATAGATTATTTCAATATCTATGTTTTTGCATGTACATTGATTGATTAATTAAGTTTATGCTACTCAAATATAAATAACATGCATTTTTCTAAACAAATACAATATGTTACTTGGACTTATTGCACCTGGCAATGAAATGGTTGCTCCAGTTTAGATGCTTTAGGTAGTCTTATCTCTTATCCTTCCCAACCCAGCAATCATTCTTGCAGGTTGCTGGTGAATAAAAATTCCAAACTTTGGCTAACCCTACTCTGGCAGGATTCCAATAGGAATTACACATCACTTTGCAAGCCAGCATAATGTGACTTGCACACCTGATTTTGCCTGTAAACCATGAGTTTCTGGACACTGTATTAGGGTTCAAACTAGGCCCTCAAAATAAGGCCTTATGAATTGAGTTGTATAATTGTATTTTAATGATAACATATTCACTTGGTGAAGGCCACAGGACTTAACATGGATGAATGCAACAACCATGTCTCTGTCACTAACAAGTACAGTAATGGGTGGTAACTACAATTCACTCGAAAGGCAAGGCACTCTGGGAAATATTCAAATAAGGATTTACACTAAGCAGTGTGTTAATTTAACACTGAAAATTGTGGGCCTGTATAGACACTGGACCAGTGTTAAATTTAACACACTCAGTATTGATTTCACACTGGAGAATTTGCTGTATAAGATCTGATCACAATCAGATCACAATGCGCCTGTCTAAAAATGTGGGCACAATCAGAATGTGGACAAAGGACACGTTAGCACAAGGTATAAACGGGGCTACTGTTCATCATGTCTGTGTGACTGTGTTGTGCCACAGGAGATGCCACTGTGCCATCTTACCATAGCTGTTCTCTGCCTTTGGTGTGCAGCAGGAGCTTTCTTATTTCAGTTATGATCAAGTCCACTAGGTGGCAGTATTGCATACTGGTAGTAAATTCATCTCTTGTCTAGAAAGTTACAGTAATATCACAATGAATTGGGATACATACAATTAACAACTCAAAGATCATTACAGATATCAAATGCACATCCACTGGACCACTATACTGTGTTATAGTTCTACCATCAGTGACCATCCACTGTAGGTGCCATTTTCATTATGAGAAGTGAAGCAAATTCGCATAATTTATTGGTCAGTCTGTGTCTGCATGTCTGAATGTGTATACGTTGTGTACGTATGTTTGAAAGTTTTAGGGCTCTATTTAATCTGTATCGCTGAAGTGTTAAGATTGTGCGATAGAAATTGAAATGTCATTTCCGATTGAGCCGACATACAGTGCATTCGGAAAGTATTCAGACCCCTTGACTTATTCCACATTTAGTTACGTTACAGCCTTATTCTAAAATGTATTAAATAGTGTCGTCGTCGTCGTCCCCCCCCCCCCATCCATCCATCCATCTACACACAATACCCCATAATGACAAAGCAAAAACAGGTTTTTATAAATGTTTGCACATTTATAAAAAATAAAAAACAAATATCACATTTACATAGGTATTCAGACCATTTACTCAGTACTTTGTTGAAGCACCTTTGGCAGCGATTACAGCCTCGAGTCTTCTTGGGTATGAAGCTACAAGCTTGGCACATCTGTATTTGGGGAGTTTCTCCCATTCCTCTCTGCAGATCCTCTCAAGCTCTGTCAGGTTGGATGGGGAGTGTCGCTGCACTGCTATTTTCAGGTCTCTCCAGAGATGTTCGATCGGGTTCAAATCCGGGCTCTGGCTGGGCCACTCAAGGACATTCAGATACTTGTCCCGAAGCCACTCCTGCGTTGTCTTGGCTGTGTGCTTAGGGTTGTTGTGCTGTTGGAAGGTGAACCTTCACCCCAGTCTGAGGTCCTGAGCGCACTGGAGCAGGTTTTTATCAAAGATCTCTCTGTACTTTGCTCCGTTCATCTTTCCATCGATCCTGACTAGTCTCCCAGTCCATGCCACTGAAAAACATCCCCATAGCATGATGCTGCCACCACCATGCTTCACAGTAGGGATGGTGCCAGGTTTCCTCCAGATGTGACGCTTGGCATTCAGGCCAAAGATTTCAATCTTGTTTCTCATGGTCTGAGACTCTTTAGGTGCCTTTTGGCAAACTCCAAGCGGGCTGTCATGTGCCTTTTACTGAGGAGTGGCTTCCGTCTGGCCACTCTACCATAAAGGGCTGATTGGTGGAGTGCTGCAGAGATGGTTGTCCTTCTGGAAGGTTCTCCCATCTCCACAGCTGAACTCTAGAGCTCAGTCAGAGTGACCATCGGGTTCTTAGTCACCTCCATGACCAAGGCCCTTCTCACCCGATTGCTCAGTTTGGCCGGGCGGCCAGCTCTAGGAAGAGTCTTGGTGGTTCCAAACTTCTTCCATTTAAGAATGATGGAGGCCACTGTGTTGTTGGGGACCTTCAACGCTGCATACATTTTTTGGTACCTTTCCCCAGATCTGTGCCTCGACACAGTCCTGTCTCGGAGCTCTACGGACAATTCCTTCGACCTCATGGCTTGGTTTTTGCTCTGACATGCACTGTCAACTGTGGGTGTGTGCTTTTCCAAATCATGTCCAATCAATTGAATTTACCACAGGTGGACTCCAATCAAGTTGTAGAAACATCTCAAGGTTGATCAATGGAAACAGGATGGACCTGAGCTCAATTTCGAGTCTCATAGCAAAGGGTCTGAATACTTATGTAAATAAGGTATTTCTGTTTTTAATTTTTTATACATTTTCAAACATTTATAAAAACCTGTTTTCGCTTTGTCATTATGGGGTATTGTGTGTAGATTGATGAGAAAAATTCATTTTTTATCCAGTTTAGAATAAGGCTGTAGTGTAACAAAATGTGGGAAAAGTAAAGGGGTCTAAATACTTTCCGAAGGCACTGTCTGCAGCGTTTACCGTGAATGCAGTCTCCGCTAACGTTGAAATATTGCCTTTATATTTTAATCACACTAACGCTGAATTTCCGCGATACGGATTGAATATGTGCCAAAACCTCAGAACAAAAACATCATGGTCTATTCTCAGGTTGTATCAAGTTTGTTCCTAAATTTAGTGAATAAACATGTCTTTATATTATACAGGTGAATATTTCAATCACTGGGGTTGGTGGGCCAAATATATGTTGATTTGGCAAGTGATACAAAGGAACATTTGTATTTAAATCGCTTTGTTTTGTGAAACAAATGAAATGGATGTCATTTCTCACTCGCTTAAAAAATCTGAATGTATATAGTTGTATTTCTTCGATTAAACAAAGAGAATATCTTGTAAATGTTAATACAATAATAAAACATTTAATATGGGATAACATGTTGATATGTGGAGACAATTTTTAAAAACTAAAAAACAGCAAAAACAACTTAATAGTGAGCAATACTCAAATATTGAAACACTTTCTTACTCAAGGCAGATTTTTGTACTTGGAATGAGAAAATATATATACAGTCGTCTGAAAGGCACTTATTATTCTGTCAGGGAAGCTACTGTCCCCTAGTATTGGAATTTAATTTAATTTAAGTACTGGGGGATGTACAGTACAGTACCGGGGCCCTATAAGAGATAAAGTACTTAGGGGATTGGGGCTAGAGGAAGATTTGTTGGTCAATTATCAATCCCACTCCAAGTGCTGACCCGGTCTACCCTACCCAACTCAACCCCTGGCCTGGGAGAAGAGGAAATATGAATTTCGTCAGACTTTTCTATTTCAGTATCCTTATTACAAAACAGAAAATCATGACCCAATCTTGGATTTTCAATCTAGCCAAACCCTGATCCTGTGTAATATTCACAAACCCCTTCACATCTAAGAACATCTAAGAGGACTGAAAACAGAACATCACCATTAATATCAAATATTCAACAACAATAATCACTCAATATAGCTTCTCTACCCCTATGAACTCAATGCTAATTGTGTTTTACAAAACACATACAACTCAATCTGTAATATGCATAGCTGCTAAGGTAAAACATTTATATGAATGCAACGGTGCTCTTGCCATGTACAGGGAAAAAAACAGCATAGCAAGCCCATTACATCAAAAATACATTCACAGTAGAAGACCACTGTAATCTGAAGCTTCTACAGCCATGCATGCAGGCATTCATTCACAACTGTGCAATTCTCCAAAAGTCAGCAAATAATATAAACACTATTTCTAGGCTGGTGTAGAAGCTATTCTATTGTAAACGTGCTCAGGTGCTTTTTATCTGAGGTTTGCCGGCTCAATGAGGCTTTGGAGGAGTAATTTACTTAGCGGCACCCGAACCCAATGAAACGGGTGAATGAAAAGCAAACTTTGGAGACAATTGTTTCACGCCCCTTTTTTGCATTTCATTGGAATTACAGATACTGATGATAACCTATTGCAGCCCCCTCTCTTTCCATTGGCTTCTATTTCTGACGCTCTGTCACTGTTCTTTTGGCTTCATACTGCGATGCACAAGAAGTGGTGTAAAGTTAAGTAAAAACTGGGCTGTACAACTGTACAACAAGGCTGCACGAAAGAAAACTTAAGTAAAAATACTTTAAAGTACTACTTAAGTCGTTTTTTGGAGAATCTGTACATTACTTTACTATTTATATTTTTGACAACTTTTACTTTTTCTTCACTACATCCCTAAAGAAAATGATGTACTTTTTACTCCATACATTTTCACTGACACCCAAAAGTACTTGTTACATTTTGAATGCTTAGCAGGACAGGACAATTGTCCAATTAATGCACTAATCAAGAGAATATCCCTGGCCTTCCCTACTGCCTCTAATCTGGCGGACTCACGAAACACAAATGCTTC